TGTGTAGCCTTTTCATTCCTCCTGTTATTTGTGCTCTTTTTAATTCTATTAGTCTTCTCTAAGAACATTTTCTCTGTGTATGTTTTAAAAAATTTAAACTGGATGCAGTAGCTCATGCCTGTAATCCCAGCACTTCGGGAGGCTGAGGTGGGTAGATCATGAGGTCAGGAATTTGAGACTAGCCTGAACAACATGGTGAAACCCCGTCTGTACTAAAAATACAAAAATAATTAGCTGGGCATGGTGAGTAATCCCAGTTACTCAGGAGGCTGAGGCAGGAGAATCGCTTGAACCTGGGAGGCGGAGGTTGCAGTGAGCCAAGATCGCACCACTGCACTCCAGCCTGGGTTACAGAGCCAAGGCTTAAAAAAGTATATACTAATAATTTATGCTTTTATATTTATTATTTCCTTTTTCTAACATTCTTTGATTTATTTTGCTCCTCCTTTTTTATCTTAATAAGTTGGGAGCTTATTGTATTAAGTTTCAGTTGCCTTCTAATATAAGCTGATAATACTGCAAACATATATTCTTAAAATTTTCACATATAGTATTTTCATTATTGTTTGATTCAAAATATTTCCTAATATTAGGATTTTTTCTTTGACCAGTGAATTATTTAGAATTATGTTTCTTAATTTTTAATTTTTCAACTTCTTTTTTATCTAGTGTAGATAACTAGATACTAGTTAACCAGACAACTAGATAACTAGATACTTAATTGTATTATGACCAGTATTTGTGGTCTGTATACCAATTTTCTGAAGTTTGTTACACCTTGTTTCATGTCAAGTAATAGCATATCACTTATCATAGAAATTCTTGATATTAGTATAAAAATATGCATTATTCACTGGTTGAGTGTAATGTTCTATTATCTTTAGATCAGTGTGTTCATTTTGTTTAAAGCTTGTTTACTTGCTTATTTTTGCTTGCTTGATATGTCAGTAACTGAGAGGTGTCTTGTAACATCTTCCATTGTGACGATGGACATCCCTTACTTTCTTACAATTCTGTCAATTTTTGCATTAATAATTTTGGGGCTATGTTATTAAATATATTCAAGTTTAGAATTATTTTTATATTTCTGATAAACTGTACTTTTTGTCATTTGTTATAAAGTCTATCCATAATCTATATCAGCTTTCTTTTCATTAATATTTTGTCTTATATGGCTTTCCCATTCCTTTACTTTCATCTTTGATAATCACTTGTATTTTAGATATATTTTTTGTGCATAGCATGTTAAATTTCATTTGTTGATTCAACCTGACAGTCCTTTTCTTTTACTTAGACTGTTTAGTCCATTTATCTTTATTTTTATGTACTGATATAGTTTTATTTCTAACATCTTATGTTCCTTTTATTTTACCTTTCTTTCCTACTTTAAGGTTAATTATAGTTTTTGTTTGTCTAAGTTGTCTTTATTTTTTCCCTTGTTCTGTGAAGATATTTTACTGGGTATATAATTCTAACTTCACAGTTGTTTTTCCGTCTGTACACTGAAGTGCACATTGGCTTCTTCTGATCTGGAAAAAGGTGATACTCTAAACATTCTTCTTTTGAAGGTAACATAATTTCTCTTGGATAGCCGTTAAAATCTTTTTGGTTTTGGTCTTATGTAGTTTTGATGTCTATTTGTAGATTTATTTTTAATTACTCTGCTTGAGATGCCTTGGAATTTCTAATCTGACAAGTAAAATCTTTCATAAATTCTGGAGAATTTTTAGCCAGTACTTTTTCAAATATTGCCCTTCTCCCATTTTCTTTCTCCTCTCCGTAGGAACTCAGGTATTTATGAGGCTGTCTCACTTTGTCCTCCATGTGTCTTCATCTTTTTTTCATATTTTCATCTTTTTGTCTATGCTGTTTATTCAATTTTGTATTTACAGTAGTGTATTTTTTCTTCTCTGGAAGTTTATTTAGTTCTTTTTCAATTCTACATGCTCTTTTTTCATATTCTTAATTTCTTATTTCCTGAAGCAGATTAAACATCGTTGTATTTTTTGCTCAACAATTCTAGTGTTTGAAAATTCTTTGCTGGTCTCATTCTGCCCGTTCATCCCACCCCCCACACACACTTTGCTGGCTGTTGTTCATGGTAACTTGATTTCTTATGCATTTTGTGATTGATTTATTTATTTACTATTTTTTCTACCGTGTGCTTATCAACTTAGGAACATCCTGTTTGGGAGGCTGGTTTGAAGGTATCTTCCTTCAGAAAGGATTATTGGCTGGGTGCAGTGGCTCACGCCTGTAATCCCAGCCCTTTGGGAGGCAGAGGCAGCTGATTACTTGACGTTAGGAGTTTGAGACCAGCCTGGCTAAGATGGTGAAACCTCGTCTGTACTAAAAATACAAAAAAAAAAAATTAGCCAGGTGTGGTCGTGGGAGCCTGCAGTCCCAGCTACATGGGAAGCTTAGGCATGAGAATTGCTTGAACCCGGGAGGTGGAGGTTGCAGTGAGCTGGGATTGCACCATTGCACTCCAGACTGGGCAGCAAAGTGAGACTGTCTCCAAAAATAAAAAAGCCATTATTAGAGTATTTGCTTTTCCTGGATGCCTGAGGCCTACTAACCTGGAAGTACTTAAACTAGTCTCAACTTGGAGGTTTTTCAGACCACACAAGTAGTTTTTAGCTGCACACTTATATCTGAGACAATTGGTGGTTATTAATTCTCAGGAGGTATTTTTTCCTCTACTTTTCACCCAGTCCTAAGGCAGACAGTTTTCTTTGCTATCTCCTGCTAGAGGGTGGAGATTATTTCTAACTTACCCTTTTAGGAATTCTCACTTTATGCATCAGCTCTTATGTTAGATTTCCTTTCTTCAGTTGGCCCTAGGTTCTTCTTTCTCTTTGCCTTCTTCATAAGAGGTTTAGAAAACTCAAGAGTCTGGTTTGTTCAAAGTCTTGAGAGTGAAAATCAGCTTTTGTCCTCTGTTTACCCTTTTGGGGTTGTAGCTTTCACTGGGCCTCTGATGATTCTTTACTTTGTTGCTCACCCTGTGATGTGTTTTAAATAATGTTACTACATTTAACAAATATTTTAATTTTATTTCCATAGTAGTTTAAAGTATCTAAACCACCATACTATAGGAAATGGTGTCATATAGCAAGCTTTTATAGATTTGGTCTTGCTTTTTGTTTTTGGTTGGTTTTTAAAAAAATTTTTTCTCCTTTTTTAGTATTTTAATGTTTTCTATATGTGGGTAGGGGTTATAGATACCAGTTCAATTTTAACATTCTGTATTTAGTATAGACTGTTATGGAATGATTGGTGGCACTTCTGTTGACATAACCAACAAATATTTGTTGACTGCCTGCCTTACACCAGTCACTGTTCTAGGAATGGGGGTATAGGTAAAAATCCCTGCCCCCTCAAGGAGCTTTGATTCTAGTATGGAAAACATGGGCGTGTAGTACATTAGACAGTGATAATACTAAGAAAAAATAAAGCAGAGAAGAAGAGAATAGCTCAGGAATATGCAGAAAGGATGACTTTTTAAAGAAAAGAGGATGTGAGCAGTGAGCACTCCAAAAAAAAAAAGACCTAAATGTTTTACAAATGCCCAAGAGAATAAGGAATGAAAAGTTTTATATTTATATGGTTGCAAGCACTGATATTTATTCTTTCTTCTCTCTTAAATCTCAGTTTTTGTCTTTCTACTTGTTTTGGTTTTCCAGGCAGCAGAACTGACTTTACCATCTTGGGCAAGTTTCTTAATGTCTCTGAGTTAAAATAAGACTACTGCCTATCTCTCGGGATAGATGGATGAAACGAGACATTTGTAAAATGCCTGACATTTGATGGACACTCAATAAATGGTAGTTTCTCTTGTTTTCATTCTTCCTGTCTTATTTATACTCTTTTCGGCACTTGTTTTCAGTACCTGTTGGTAAACTTGCAATGATATGATTCCCTTTTTTTTTTTAAGATGGAGTTTCTCTTTTGTCCCTCAGTCTGGAGTGCAGTGGCGCAATCTTAGCTCATTGCAAAATCTGCCTCCCAGGTTCAAGCGATTCTTGTGCCTCAGCCTCCCAAGAAGCTGGGATTACAGGTGCCCACCAGCACACTCGGCTAATTTTTGTGTTTTTTTTTTTTTAGTAGAGACGGGGTTTCTCCATGTTGGTCAGGCTGGTCTTGAACTCCTGACCTCAGGTGATCCTCCCGCCTTGGCCTCCCAAAGTGCTGGGATTACAGGCATGAGCCACTGTGCCCGGCCGTAATGATATGATTCTTATGCAGCACTGCAGAGACAGCATGTGATAAGAAATTAACTAAAGACAAATTAGGAGAACTTGAAAGTTTGATTAAAAAAAGCTTTTCTAAAGTAATTTTTAAAGTCTGATTTGATTCTTAAGACTAAAGAGATAAAGCCAAGCTTTATGCATTTTCCCCTTAAAAGTATTTTTCATTGTATTGCGTGCAGGTTGGTAGTCTCAGTAAATCTCCATTTGTATATGTGACAGTCTGCAGAATCTCCAGTTACAGTGAACTCAAAGCAAGCAGGGCATGCCACATACATATACACATGTAGTTGCATATCTACTCTTTAGCCATTAACCTAAACTGGCTCTAATGTTTTAGTGTAAATTGGTGGGTTTTCTTGTGCCACTAAAAATGGAGGAAATGTAACAGTAAGGGTGAGACTGGAAGATTCCTGCAGTTTGGGTTTGAATGAAGCTGAAATCTAAGTTTAGAAGTAAAACTAGACCCCGAAGTAACTCATATTCCTCTAGTGAGATTTTCTTTGATTGGAGGGAGAGTCCTGAGACCTTGATTTTCATACTGGTTTGATACTGACTCACCATGGGGACTCCGTCAATCAGTTTTCCCTGTCTGTGTCATGAGTGATAGTCCCCATAAAAGACTTCCTTGCCTTGTATGACTGTTGAGATTTCATAGAATGGGAGCAATATGAAAGTAAGACAATCACTAAAGGCAAACTGAGTACAGCTATTTATATTCTGTGCTTTTGGTTTTTGGTCTCTCCCCAGCCCTACCATTGACCATGCCCTGTTGGACATGCCCTTCCTTTGACGCCCTGGGGAGATGCCCTCTGACCTCTGAGAGCAGCTGGACCACCCATTCTGAAGACACCAGCAGTCCTAGCTTTGGATGTTCGTATACAGACCTGCAGCTCATTAATGCTGAGGAGCAGACGAGTGGCCGGGCTTCTGGGGCTGACTCGACTGGTAAGATGGAGCTCTAACCCAGAGGGCTTTGCAAATCACTTTTGGTGCACCCAGGTCCACTTTAAAGTCCTTTTAAAATTGCTGCAGCTGGCTTCATTTGCAGAATGAGTTCAGGTGTTGTTATCCAGTCAAAAAGCTAGAACCCAAAGTGGAAATTGCACTGGGGAAAATGTATACACAGATTGAATAATTGGATGCAGATTATTCATACTGGGCAACCATTTGACAGTTTATTTTAATATGTTGTTTTATGACTGTTTGGTATAAATACCATTCTGTCAATTTATTTTCTCCTAGGATTATTAAACTATGTGTAAATATGCACAAGGCTGAATCTTTCATCCTACTACCCACGCATCCTGCCTTTTCAGTTAAGAGGGAGGTAAATTTAAGCAGGGAAAAAGTGAACGTTATGTGAAACAGAATGAGAATCAAGACTCAGCCACTGTGTCCAGACTACAGATCATTTTGGAGTTAAGTGTTTATTCCGTTATGCCTTGGTTGAGTGGATACGTCAATCAGCAATGTACTATGCCTCATTTATCAACCTTTCCAGTAGGCGTAAGATGGAATGCTGGCTTTCTTTGCAGGTGGAATATGGGTCTGTTAACACGTGCTGAATTACAGGCAAGGTTTGGGAATGGCACTGGAAAGATTTGGCATTGGGAAGATGTTCTTGGTGTTTTGGTTATTTGGCCCAAGAGATTTTTTTTTTTTTTTTTCTGAAAATGATGAAGTTACTGCTCGTTTCTCTGTGGATGAAATAACCCAGTGTGTTGACAACATTTGTTTTTCCTTCTCCATGTTGTTCAGAGTTTCTAGATCATTTTTAAGCTTTGGATATTTGCCATGTGCCATTGAATTCTACAAGTATAAAGAGGGATCTCTCTTACAGACTGAAGGGTTCAGGCAGGATTTGGTTTGGTATTTGATAATGCTGCAGAGAATCCTAGTTTATTATGGACCCTCTTTGTCTTCAGAAGCTGTGGTTCTTTATATGGTTTTATTTTCACAGACACTCCTTCAGTTCTGGTTAGTTTCTGCTGATGATCCTGGTCAGAGGCTGAAATATGCTCCCACAGCCCCATTTCCACACTGGGGGCATCTAATAGTACTCACCTCACCTTGAGACAGTTTACGTAGAATAACTTACACGATGCTTGACACAGAATAAGTGGCCATCAGGGATGAAACAAATTCTCTTTGCTGCTGCAAGGTTCTTCTTGCTTTGGAGAGTTGCAGAATAGGCGCCTCATTGAAGGAAGAGCCAGTATCTCTAGGCTCATGCTGTTTTTCATTGTCTTCTCTACTTTTTTATTAGATGAAAGTTAATTCTGGCCAGGCGTGGTGACTCACGCCTATAATCCCAGCACTTTGGGAGGCCGAGGTGGGTGGATCACGAGGTCAGGAGATCGAGACCATCCTGGTCAACAAGGCCTCGTCTCTACTAAAAATACAAAAATTAGCCGGGCATGGGGGTGCACGCCTGTAGTCCCAGCTACTCAGGAGGCTGAGGCAGGAGAATTGCTTGAACCCGGGAGGCGGAGGTTGTGGTGAGCCGAGATCATGCCATTGCACTCCAGTCTGGGTAACAACAGCGAGACTCCGTCTCAAAAAAAAAAAAAGAAAGAAAGAAAGTTAATTCTTAGAGGTTCAAGTAATGAAAATGAGAACCCTAGCCTGAACATTATTAGTCTGCCTCCACAGCTTATAATTATTTTTAACATCTCCTTGTGCTAAATTCATTCTAACAGCGTTACAGTTTGCATCAAGAAAACCTCCTCCCCTCTTTTGGTGAGGGTCCTGGCAGGAAGCAGATGGTGCCCTAAAAAGGTTTATCTGGAGAGAGCTTAATGAAGGGACCACCTACAGAGGAAGCAAGCACTGGAATCATAGAAGAGGGGCTGCCTAACAGGAGCGGTGGTTACCGATAGGACAAAGCCACTGCAGAGATTTGACCCAGCAGGGAGAGAGGGAGGAATAAATTCCCAGATCTGGTGCTGGTGTTGCCAACTGGCAGATCCTAGCCTGAGGCCAAAGGGCATGGAGCCCTGGAGAAGCAGCCTACAGAGGTCAGTCACCAGAGCAGGTAGCATGGATCTGAGGTTGAAAGGGGGAACAGGTGTGTTAGAATAGCCTGCACACTTGGTCCCCACCAGGAACTAACTAGCCTCTATGCCAGAGTTACACCAGAGACTCAAAAGGCAAATCTGGGACTGGAGAATGAGGAGGAATGCTCTTACTCAGCAGGAGGCAGTTTCCATGGCTACAGGGAGGGGAGAGGTATGGCCTTTTGGCACCATCCTCTTTTTTGTTTGTTTCTGTTTGAGTCTCACTCTGTCACCCAAGCTGGAATGCAGTGGTGCAATCTTGGCTCAGTGGAACCTCTGCCTCCCAAGTTCAAGTGATTCTCCTGCTTCAGCCTCCCGAGTAGCTGGAATTACAGGAGTGTGCCATCATGCCCAGCTAGTTGTTGTATTTTTAGTAGAGACAAGCTTTTGCCATGTTGGTCAGGCTGGTCTCAAACTCTTGACCTCAGGTGATCTGCCTGCCTTGACCTCCCAAAATGCTAGGATTACAGGCGTGAACCATCACACCCAGCCTCATCCTCCTTTACAGTAGTAATAATTATAGCTAGCACTTACCGAGTATCTGCTGTGTGCCAGCATGTGAAGTGTATGATCTCTGGCTTTTACAGCAATCTTGCAAGGCACATGTCATTCTCCCCATTTCCTAGTTGACGCTGAGTCTAAGAAAGGTTAAACAACTTGTTAAGAGAACACCACTGAGAAATGGATGACCTGAATTTCAATGAAACTTCCAAACCCTTTTCCAGCCACTTCCCAAACCTGGCAATGCCTTAAGTCACCATAGTTTTTTATTTGGTGTTACCCCCCAGACCTTCCATACAGATATGTATAGAGAATGCATACAAGCATATATACATATATTGTCTTGGGGGCTTATTTTTAACATCAATAGGACCAAGGGATTTAAAATAAGATGTATAGCAGGCAGAGCTTGAGGATAAGTCCATATGTCCTTAACAGATATGAATGCTTACAGATAACTGCTGTGTGCCCACAGTATTATGTTCTGTAAACAAGTTTCTAGACATTCTACTTTGAAATCTCCCTATTCTTTAGTAATCAAACTAGGATCCAGGTTGGCCCAGGTGTTTGGGAATGCTTCCATCTGCTTGTGATGGAAGTCTTCCTTCGCATCTCACCTCCATCTGCCCTTCAGGCATTCATCTCCATCTGCCCTTCAGGCCTAGAGGTGACAAGCGGTGTGTCTCCATGAGCCTGGGAAATGAGAGGCAGTGAGATGAGTCCTCAGAGAGCAGCTCTTCAGGCCATGGAGACAGGGTCTGGAGGCATTCTGACTGAGGTTACCCATGAGGCTCTTCCTGACCTGTGGAATCAGGGTAGAGCTCTGGCTTTGAAAAGCCTTTAACTCATCTAGGGTCCCAAAACAGAAGGAGGAGAAGGAAAGACTGTTTAGGAGAAAGAACAAGTATTTTTCAGCCTGTGATATTTATCCATTTATTCCAGTGGCTGGGAATTTTAAAATGCTTTCAGTTGTCCAGGCGTGGTGACTTGTGCCTGTAATCCCAGCATTTTGGGAGGCTGAGGTGGGTGGATCACTTGGGGCTAGGAGTTTGAGATCAGCCTGGCCAACATGGTGAAACCTCATCTCTACTAAAAATATAAAAATTAGCTCGGCATGGTGGCAGGCCTGTAACCCCAGCTACTGGGGAAGCTGAGGCAGGAGAATCACTTGAACCCAGAAGGGCAGAGGCTTCAATGAGCCAAGATTGTGCCACTGCACTCCAGGCTGGGTGACAGAGTGAGACTTGGTCTCAAAAAAAAAAAAGGAAAAAAAATGCTTTCAGTTGAGCTATTGAGAGCTTCAAGGATATTTGTACACATTGGAAAGCCCTCCAGCCAGGTGATGCCCTGCCCTCTGCCTGGCACCAGGCTTGTGGCATTGCCAGTCTTTGGAAGAGTCCTGCTCGAGGCTGGATGATTTCAGTTTGGTAAAAAATCCCTCTGAGGTTATGGGGCAGATTCCCATCAGTCTCTCCTCCAGATAAGTCATTTCTTCAGAGCTTTACTTTCTTATCTGTAAAATGGAACTGAGCCATCCTGCTCAGTCAGGGTGACAGGGTATATGAAGGCATTTTGTACATTGCAAAGTACTGTAGGAATTTAAAAAAAAAATCCTAATTTAATATCTCTTTGCCTTGTTTCCATTTGATATGGGACATAAGGATAATTACTATCCACTCCTCTGTTACCGCAAAGAGGGCTGTTACCCACACTATAGCATGTGGCGTGAGATCTGAGAAGGGCTTTGCATTTCTCAGCAGCAAGCGGTAAATACAGAGATGCTCTGGGGGGTTCCCTATGATTGGTTTCTGTGCTTGGGGACCCTTGGGAGGAACTGCCTTGGGGAGACATTTGTCATTGTTCCCCACCCACCCCATTACCCTTTAGCACTGCAGAGAGAGATAGAGGGTGAAGAGCTCCTCGGACTTGTGGCCTCATCTGGAGCCCTGAGAGCACAGTGTGTCAGAGTTACCACTGGGCACCTCCTGCTCTGTGATTCGTCTCTTGTTTGGAGAGGGATTATGGTGCTCTGGGCCCAGCCTGTTTGCCTTGGCATCCTTGCTTGGTAGTGGGCTGCAGAGAGCAGAGCTGTACCCTCATCCCTGTCATCTGTGGCAGAGTTCTGCAGGGATTTGGCAGCCCCACAGGGCAATCCAATTCCCAGCATAATCATGGAGGGAAAGACTCTGTGATCAGCCTATACTTTCTTCTCATTTTCTCATCAAGGGGATAATTAGTAGGAAGGCAAACAAATCCCTTCACCATGATCAAATCACAGGGTGTAGGGGCAGGGCTGGAGAGTAGTGTTGATGTGAGTTAGCTCTGAGGTCCATTCTCAAGAGCAAATGGCAGGAGAATTGTTAATAGGCAAAATCCTGAACAACATTT